CATAGAACTAAAAATAGATTTTAAGGAAACCAGCTACACAGGGCAACCATCTTGCTGTTGAAGAAAATCATGTGCCAAAAGACTATAAATTATTGGCATATATAGGAAATAAAACTTAAAGTCTACATTATAATTTCTGAGCCAGTATTATTTCAACAGGATAAAAATTACTAAAATCTTACATAGGTTTATGCAATGTCTCTGCCAGTGCTAAATATCTTTGTAAACAGTGCTTTCGGAAATGCCAATTTTAATTTTTGTACATTTCACATTGTATATGAGAGCAATTGCTTCGTGAATGATTCAAAATAATATATTTCATTTAAATTTTAATTGCTTTTCATCAATGTGAAGTCTTAATTTGAAAATGAAATCACACTACCAGCAATAGACAGTTTTGTTGAATACGCTAATAAGGAACAATAGCCAGTTCCATAAATAACTTTAAAATTCTAAAAGTATTGGTACGCTAGTAATCACAAATTTGGTTTGTTTTAATACTTTTTAATCCTGTAAAGAAAGTTTTTATAAACATCCTTTTTATTAATCAACCATAACATGGCAAAATGTGTAGTTGCAATTTCTGAAAAGTGATCCAAACTCTATACCCAGAGATGATGAAAAATTCTTATAGAATTTTGTAATAAGTATACATGTTGGGTTAAAGAAATTTCATAGTTGTTCAGTGCCATGAAATAATACTTGCAATTCAGATTGCTGTAGTTACACTTTTTCTGTATGTTTCAAATCAGGTGTGTATCATTTGTACTGGAACACCACAGAATGAATTCCAAAGTCCATTGATTTAATATGTTTTGGTTTGTAAACAATTATAGTAATTTCTTGCACATTTTTGGAAATTAATTGTAGAAGAATTTATGTATCTGCTTCTAGATACAGTGTGTAAATAAAAATTTCATTCACAAGATCTGCCTTGTAGTCTATTTAATACCCTGCTGCAGTGTCTGATTTTAATTAGTATGGGGTTAAGTAGATAATTTCTGGATGCCCATGAGGCTCGAGAGTGGGAGCCAGTAAGTTTCAGTAAAAAGGGAAAAGTAGAATCATGCCACTAATGGAAGATTGATCAGTCAAGCAAATTAGGAGTCAGCCAGTTGTGCTAATATACTAAAGGGCGTGGCTGACCATTAGCGTGAGAGCAGACAGACGCCTCTCTGAGAATATTAAAGACCTGCTTTTGTGATGGCAGGTAATTCGCTGAAAACCTCAGAACTTCCATTAAGTTATCATTGTGCTTACCATAGCCAGTTTCCTCTACTCCCTACCTTTTACCCCCACCTTTAAATTCCTAACTTTCTCTTTTTTTTTTTTTTTGCCTTCCAACATACTTCTGCTTTTCTTAGGCTTTCAAATTTCTGGATCAAAAATAGATTAACCTTTATTTCAGTTGAATTTAGCTTTTTCTTGTCTGCTGTTTTGGCCTTCAAGTCTATGATTTCTTTTTTGTTGTAGTTGTTTCAAATCTTTAGCTTCATTTAAAATTCATTATTTTTTTTAAACTTTAATTCTTTTAACTTTTTTATATTTCCAGTTACAGTTTTAAAGGGTTACTATTGAACTGTCTTTTTAACAAAATTTGATTTTGTTTTTCCTCCTTTTTTCCATGAATTGTCTTGCTAATGGGTTGAGAGCTGTTGTGGCATTTGCTGCTTGGGCCAACTCCCCTCCCCCCAAACCCAGAAGTTTCCACAGACCTTCACCTGCGTGACTTCCCAGTTGCATGTGCTCTTTGTCTCCCAGGTCATGTGTTCCTTTATGGAGATAGCAGATTTGATGGAGTGGAAGTATTGGTTTATGACATTACATAATTCAGACCTAGTAGAAAGATCGCTCCATGACTCCCAAGATAACAACCATTGGATTTGAGGGCATAAAAATGCCTTTTGCATGTTAAGATTTGATTGAGGAAGTCAAATCCATGGACCTGTGATGCCCTGACGCTGGCAAAGAGCCAATAGCAGTGAACATCTGATTGAGCAGCTATCTCAGATCACAACCATGTTACTACTTTTGCACCAGGCTGCATTTTTCCCTACATAATCCCAGGCAGTCTCACCATTACTTCTGCAAGAGGCTTAGGAGGGTTCTCTGGGAAAGCCTCCCTCAGATTGTAAAAGCCAAGGAGAGGCTGTCTAGAGCAAGGATAATTTTAATGGGTTTATGAACAGGGCCACTTGCCTTATCTAGAGATAATTTTGGGCTGTCAAATCCTGTCCTTGGCTTGCAAATAGGATAAATCTTAAATTGAAAAGGAAGACTCACTTGATCATGAGCTATGGATTTCCCCATACCAAGAAAGCCCGAGGAAGTGCAGATCCGTATATGAGGTGGTTTTGCTGGTCTCTATCTTTGTCCCAAGGGTCTAATAAGGTGGCATTCAGGGACATTAGAACTTAATTATACCAGTCCATGTATTAACTTTGTACAACAGTGACTTGAGTAATCATGACTGAGCCACTCATACAGACTCAATAAAAATTATTGCATTTGTCTGTATTCAATCTCTCTCCCCACAAACACTCAATACTCATTCTTCAAGGTTAATTCAAGCCTTATCTCATGATGCCTTCTCTCATCCCAAATCAAGTTGTAACTTCTCCTCCTTGTTATAAACTCATTGTTAAAAGCCTGAGAAAGAAGAAAGAAGAGAATGAAGATAAGCCTGTTTTGTAGTTTTTGCTGGAAATGGCGAGGAGTGTGTTCAAGGATCCTTACAAGGATACATGTCCTTACAAGGACATTTTAATTTTAAGGATGACAGAATGGCACATGACACTGTTGAGTTCCTCTTTCACACCTCATCAATTTTTTCAGCTTTTACACAGAACTGTTGCTGTGCTTCATATATACCTCCCCTCCAAATCTCTCACTAGAGACTCTATCACTTAATTCTGAATCAACAAAGCTTGTGCAAAAGAGAAGACCTAGGTAATGTAATACCCAGTCAGTGCATTTGTCTTTTTGGTCACTTTGTTAAATAAGATTTTAGAGCTTCACTGTGGGTAGGAGATTATGAGATCTAATGGAAGATATCAGCTTAATACAAGAAATGGCTTTCATACATATTACTTAAAGCAGCTGGTTTGTGAAATAATGAGTGTCTCACCTTTAGGTGTCTGTATAAAGAACCTGGATGTGGTCCTCTGGGATTTCTAATGGGTAGGGAGCTGGAAAAGGGGACTTGTAAAAATCTGTCCAACTTAAAATTTCTAAAAAGGGTTCTAAGACAAAAACCTAAATAGAGAAAAAGAGGAAAAGATTGGGAGGAAAAAAGTTGGAGAAAAAAATGATCAAACTAGTAACATGGTTGCAACAACCTGCATCCACTATGAGTCCATCAGTTTGATATGCCTGTTTCATGTTTTAAGTTCCAGAGATAAGCTTGGAGTCATGATGCAACCAGGCGGTACCTACAGAACTTCTTCAGTTTTGTTTAAATACACCATTGACTTGTTGCCTATGAAATAAGAGTATTCCTACAGACTAAGCCAGACAGCTGGATCTGGCACAGCCCAAATTGGGCCGCTTGATGACTCAGAAGCTGCTCCTTAGCCTTGAGCTCAAATGGTCTAGTCAGGGCTGAGGAGCTCTTGTTCTAAAGAGGAAAGCCAACATGCTCAAACACAGCAGTCTCAACATGTATCCCAGATGTCCTTGACAATCTAATGAATTCTGTTCCTCCCAAGCTCATTTATCATCCAAATGAAGTGCAATAGACTAAATGCTTATGTCCCTCCAAAATTTGAAAGTTGAAATCCTAACCCCCAAGGTCATTACCTTAGGATGCTTCCTAAGGTGAGGGCCTTTGGAAAGTGATGTCCTCAAGAATGAGATTACTGCCCTTACAAAAGAGACCTCAGAGAACTGGTTGGCCCCTGGAGAAGGTGTCATCTATGAACCAAGAAGTGGGCCTTCACTGGATACCAAATTTGCTGGTGCCTTGATCTTGGACTTCCCAGCCTCCAGAGCCATGAGAAATTTCTATTGTTTATGAGCCACCCACTTCATCGCATTTTATTACAGCAGCCCAAATGGACTAAGGCACAAATCTTCACTTACAAAACGTGGAAATATATGTAAAATTGTGCACATAAACCAATACAGCAAGTTTCGGTTCTGCTCAAAGGTAAACATGAATAAGAAGGCTACTGTTGCTTATTGGAAAAAGAAAAGAAAATGATAGATCAGTTTTTAATATCTAATCATTTTTACTTACTATGGCACTAGATATTCAGAGGGATGACTAACAAATGAAGTCATGGATACCATAATTTGTCTGATTATGATGGGTGTGGTGTACACTGCTAGTTGTTTATTTAGGTGATGTCACTTCTCTATGTCATCTTCATTAAGCAAATGCAAGTGTTTACAGGAATGGCAATGTGCCCAGCTAAAAAGACCACAAGTCACCAGACTCTCTTGCAGCTTAAGGTGGCTGTGAGACGTGGTTCAGGCCAGATACAGGTTTCTTACAGCTTTTGGAAATGTTCCAAGTCCTGATAGAGCCACCTGTCCATCCGCCTTCATTTGTTTTCTCTTCTGCTCCTGAATTGCTGCCCTAATTCTCAGATGTTCGGCAGTTACACACAAAGGCAAACAAAGTTGAAAGGTATAATGAGCCTGGCCTTGGAGCAGTGGCATTGGACCCTGAAGTAACCACCTCCATACTTTCTTTAGTGTGGCAAAGGAACCTGTTTGTTTAAGCAGTGTCAAAGTTTCTGTTAACCTTCATCTAAAACAATCCGAACTGGAGAGTGCAGGTCAAGAAACATCAAAATTTCCCAAAATTCTTAGGGTTTTATTCATATCGAGATGTTTCCTTTATTTTCAGATGAAGGAGAGCTTCAGAGAGATGCCCTTGTTGACTTCATGCTGTACTGAGACAAGCCTGCCACGCTAGGAGGAAGACAGTTGGGGGTCCTGTCATTTTGGTGACAGTCAAACTTCATCAAACTTCTCTTCCAGGGTAAGCTATTGGATACACTATTTTACTGAATCCAATATAAACAAAGAGAAATGGCCATGATAGTGATTCCAGAATGCTACCTATCTGCTTCCTATCAAAGAGAATCTATTCTGGAATTAGGACATGGAATTGATTGTATTGTATATCACCTGTTTACCATGTCATCCCCTGCCATTCTCCAACTATTTAGAGCAAACAAAATACAATGTCAGTGCAAAAGCAAGGAAAATCAGAGAAATAATGATTTAAAAGGGGGGATCAGGTATTTCAGATGATAAATTCCAGCTACCAATGAACCTATAATGACTGTGTCTTAAGCAGAAAACTTACAGTCCAAGCACCTTTGGGCATTCAGAGCCTAGAAATGGAACTGTTCACATCCAAGTCCTAGCATTAGAACTGTTCAACCCCTTGAAGTGTTCATCCCTCATTATTAAAAGCGTTAGTATGAACGGCCACCCGCCTCCTTTACCAGGCGGTTGTAAGAAGCAAAGTGATGCCAGTGCCATTGCTTTCCCCCTCACTTCCTCAGGTTGCACAGTTTTGTGGGACTTTTCTGGGTAAACTTCAGAGCAATTTAAATAGACCTTTTGCATCCACTAAGCACAAGAGCCGACCACCTTTCAGAAACAGCATGACAAAGTTCAGAACTCCATTCTTCCATCCTGGATGGGAAGTGACAGCTTTCCTGATGGTGAGCCTGCCAGAGTCCATTCCTAGGATTGCGGGAAGCTGCTGGCAGGCGATGAGTTCCATGGAGTAGAAGGGGAAAAAAGAAAAGGAATTTGTTAGTTGTGACAGACACTTTGGTTAGTCATTATTCATTACCTCTTCCCTTGCCCGCTGGTTACGGTAGATGCTGGAAAAGCAAGATGCCCCCTCTTCCAGCCACACTTGCAGGCCAGAGAGGCCACGAGACTTGGTTCTGCCCAAATAGATAGATGTAAGGTTGAGAGACTTCTGGGAAAGACTTTCGTTCCTGTGTAAACGGAGACAGGCATGGGAGAAGAGCTTTCTCCTGCCATCGTGGCAATCCCTCTGCTTCTGTACATTTACAAGGCCACGTAAAGACTTGTTACCTAGGAGTGTGGCAACCACGTGGTGACCGTGAATCATCACACCTGAGGACAAAACCTAAACGTGCCACATATGTCAGAGTGGAAGGAAGGAAAGAGCATGGCATCAAGCCACCTCCCAATCTGAGGACATCTGCCTCTAAACGTCTTATTGCGTAGACGTGAAATGTACTTTCTTAACAGGTAGGTGGTCCCACCCAGCCCTAGTCTCTTGCAGTCTTGAAGAACACATACTCACACAGAAAAGAAGTAGGACCTACAAAGTCACAGGGGTTCTGCAAATATAACACAAAAGAAACTCAAGAACACTGCAAGCCTAACAGCCAAATCTATGAATAGCCAGTCTAAAACTCAGCATGTTAGTCCTTGAAAATATTTACCTGGCAGAGTAAGAGCCAGCTGGGACAATTCCAGGGCTCCCCGGCCTCTGGGCCACCTTCAGATGAATGCCAGACTTCTCTGGAAGGAATTTCAAAACGTCCCCTTCACCGATAAAGTGCTTACTTACCCTACGGGCAAACCTATAAAGACCAAGGAAACCGTGAGAATAGTTTCTTGTATTTAAACAGCAAACTTATCACTGAAGAGATTGATCATTTCATTGTGTTTTTAATAATAATTAATCTTTGCAATATCCTGGTGGAGAGGTAGAGGGATAAAGGATGATTACTACCAATTCAGAGGGGGAAAGAGAGAAAGAGCGTGAAATTAAGTGATTACCTATGAGCCATAGTAGACATGTAGCCCTATGTAGACAGCCAGTGAGCCAGCCAAGGTGAGATTCCAGATGTCTTAAATCCCAGTCTAGCCTCTGGCCCTCAGGCACTCTCTCCTGATGACTCAGGGAATCTAAGTGAGTCATCAGTTCCTTGAACCTCCCAGAAACTAGGCTAGGATATAAAGAGAACACAGATTGAAAAGGCAAACCAAACCAGCCCATTCAAGTTATTGTATAATAATGAAGGCATCCTTATCATGTTTTGACTCCTAAATATTTAGAATAAAAAGGCAGAAAAGGAGGGAAAAAAAATAAGTGCCAATATAAAGGAATAGACTTAAGAATACTTAAAAGTCAGAGATATTTTCAAATATCTTCTACAAAGTAAGCAAAAATGGAACAAGCAGAAGTAGCAGAGAGGAGAGAAATAGTTTATAAATATATTAAGTATTATTTAAGGGTTAACTGTGGTTATGTCACAGTTTGTAATAAGGCATGCTGTAACTCTTGTGTAATAACATGAGGTGTCTTGACAAACAGTCTACTTAAACAACTGGGCCTTTAGAATATAAATAACACTGCCAAGTCCAAACCCTTGCCCTGCCTCATACTGGCCAGGTGACTTAGCTTCCTATTGTCTTCTGTTTACTGATTAACTTTATTGTGGGACTCATAATATTAATAACACCAGCCTCAAAGAACTCTTACCTCATTTAAGACTTAATTTATCTGAATTTTCTGGAACAATGCCTTACCCAGAGTAAATACTATGCAAATGCAAATGTTTATTATTATTAGAATTGAATAACATAACAGATATTTTAAAACATATTCATATGAAACATATTCAAACATTTGGAAGGTTTAAAGAACTGATCCTATCTTACATTAAGAATATCTCAGTAGTTTCTAAAAATTACAAAATATAAAACCCACATTCTCTGGCTACCGTGTAATAAGTAACCGATAGTATTTTTTAATGGTAAAAATTAGACACCTCTTGCCTGCCTCAACCCACCACCATGGAATAAGATGTTTTGTTTTATGGAGGTGAGAGGCTGATTGATTATTGGTGGTAGCGTTTTTCCCACCATGGATACATGAGAGATTTTTTTCCTTTTATTTTTTTAAACTAGAGAGGTGGTCTTAAAGCCCTTGAGTTCTGGATTTTCTTGCCTTAGAGAAAAGCTAACTTTGTTTGATGAGGCACATTAGGAGAAATTAGATTGTTCTGAGGGTAAAGGAAGAATGTTGGCCCTTCCTGGGGAAGACAGTTGGAATCTATGAGACCAAGAGTTGGGAGTGCCTGCAGGTGCAGGGCTGTAGCCTTGTTTTCCAACAAAGAACCCAGCACCACAGTTTTTGGAGCTCAGCAAAGACCCCCGAGGGCCACGTTTGATGTTGAGGGTGTGGAAGCCATTATCAGAAGCTGTCTTCGAACAAAATATCGTTATAATCATCTGGTGTTACATAACAAACTCTCCTTAAACTTTAAATTGTTGACTTAGGACAAAAACCATTTTATTCTATCTCATGATTTTGTGGGTCCGAAATTTAGGTAGGGTGACTCTTCTGTGTAGGGTTGGCAAAGATGGCCCGGTGGTATTTGGCTGACGATTGACTAGCCCAGAGGATCCCAGGATGCTTCATGAATGTTCTGAAGCCTTCGCACACACATACAGTCTTTGTGCACACATGTAGCCTTTGTGCAGACATGCAGCCTTCATGCACACATGCCTTAGCTGGGTCAGTTGAGGGAAGCACTCACATGTGGTTTCTCCAGCATGACGATCTCTGTGTAGCCAGACATTCTGCATGGTAGTCAGGCAGGGCTCCAAGAGTGAGTAAGACAGAAACATCAGGGCCTTTCTCATCCAGCACCAGAAATCGCCTATTGTCACTTCTACTGTCCACTGGTCAAAGCAGTCCTAAGCCAGCCCAGATAAAAGTGAAGCTCACCTAACCCTCTTGATAGTCGGAAAGTCAAATGCTTTGCAACCATGATTTTAAGCCACCGCAGCTGTTTGGGCTTAGACACTGAGAGCATCCAGAATGGCCTGGGAATCAGTGCCCTTCCCCCATTTCAGGGACTGGATAAGCCGCCAGGGTTCAGGTATAATGTACCCGATGGAAGGGGAGCCCGAGAGAGGCTGTTGCTTTGAGTTATGTATTTTTAATGACATCAAGAAAATACCTGTTAATTCTTATTTTACTGAAGTTTAAACATTTTTTATATATTTAAAACAAATTTATTCATGTAAAAAGGTAAAATAGTACCACAGAACTTAAAATATTTCCTCCTCACTGTTCCTCAACAGTTTTCTGTTGGATGCTGTAACAAAAACACACACTTAGTGGCTTCAAATAACTTGTAGTTATTTTCTGGACGTTCTGTAGATGTAAGTCCAGCATGGTCTCATTGAGCTAAAAGCAGCTTGTTAAAGGGCTGTCTGTCTTTCTTTCTGGAGCCCCTGGGGTGGGATGTGCTGCTTGCTTACTGAGGTTGTTGGCCAAAGCTAGTTCTTTGAGGTTGTAGAACTGAGGTCCCCATTTCCTTAATGAGGGTCACCCCTGACTTTTAAAGACCACCCACACTCCTCAGCTCATGGGCCCTCCTTCATCTCCAAAGCCAGCAGTGGCAGTTTGGGTCCTTGTCAGATTTTGCATCTCTGTCTTCTAACTTCAGCCAGGAAAGATAATCTGATGTTAAGGGTTTGGTTTAGTCATCAGATTAGCATGCATTTAGATAATCCAGGAAATCTTCCCATCTCAGGATCCTTAACTTGTTGACATCTGCAAAGTCCCTTTTGTCATAAAAGGTGACATTCACAGGTTCAGAATGTGGACATCTTCTGGGGGGGGCATTATTTCTGCCTATCTATCCTACTCACAACTCCCCATCTGATCTCTACAGTCTTTTTGCCTTATTACCAGTGTATACTACTATTTCTAGATTTTCTTGTTTAGTTTAGACCTTAGCATGAAGGTATTAACTATTGACTTATTTTCATAGATAATGATTGAATTCTTTTGCATACCCACACACATACACACTGCTTCACCCCCCATCCTCCTGATAGAGTTATTTCCTAGTTTTTGGAGCTGTTCACATTATTATAAGCTAGTATATTTATATATATTTTTTTTTAATTTCAGCTTATTATGGGGGTATGAATGTTAAGGTTATGTATATTACCCATGCCCTCCTCAAGTCAGAGCTTCAAGCGTGACCATCCCCCAAACGTTGCACATCTCACTCATTGTGTTTGTATATATCCATCCCCTCCTCCCCTCCCACCACCCAACCCCTATAAATGTTTTCCTGTATGTCCACTTAGGTATTGATCCATTAATACAATTTGCTGGTGAGTACATGTGGTGCTGGTTTCCATTCTTGAGGTACTTCACTAGTAGAATGGGTTCCAGCTCTATCCAGAAAATACAAGAGGTGCTATATCACCATTGTTTCTTAAAGCTGAATAGTACTCCATGGTATACATATACCATATTTTATTAATCCACTCATGAATTGATGGGCACTTGGGTTGTTTCCACAACTTTGCAATTGTGAATTGTGCTGCTATAAACATTCGAGTGCAGGTGTCTTTTCATAAAGTGACTTTTGATCTTTTGGGTAGATGCCCAGTAGTGGAATTGCTGGATCAAATGGTAGATCTACTTGTATGGTTTTAAGGTATCTCCATACTGCTTTCCACAGAGGTTGAACTAGTTTGCAGTCCCACCAGCAGTGTAGGAGTGTTCCTCTCCGCATCCATGCCAGCATTTGTTGTTTGGGGACTTTTTAATAAAGGCCATTCTCACTGGGGTTAGGTGGTATCTCATTGTGGTTTTGATTTGCATTTCCCTGACGATTAGAGATTTTGAGCATTTTTCATATATTTGTTGTATAAACCAGTATATATTTTTATAACTAAATATTATGCTGTGATTATTTTTCATTCTTGCACAACTTTTCTTGTACAACAGCAGCAGTTACCAGTTGTCATTTTTCTTTCCTTCACTTAATTATCTATGTATGGATCATCTTTGAAGTTTTCATCAGAATTGGAAATCATTTCCCACTACATACTAATGCAACAGATAACCTGTCCGTTTTTCTCTTCTCTTGAAAACACACCAGCTTGGCCTGTGCCCTTTCATTTGAACTTGGATGGGCTGCTGTCCAGTCAGCTATAGCTGCTGAGATATTCTTTCCTAGTGTCACTCTGCAATCCCCTTCACATTTCTCCTCTGTTGGAGTTGACCTGCCTCCTCATTGACTCCCTCTTTTTGTTGGAGCGCATCCCCCAATAGCTCCCTGAGCAAAGGGGCATGGTTTTTTCTTTAAATTTCAATGTCTTAAAATGTTTTTATTCCCCTCTCACGTTTGTTGAATGGTTGGGCTGTGTACAGTATTCTAGGTTGGAAATTTCCCTCCCTCATCTCCAAAATGATGTTGAGATTTGAGTGTGGATGGCGTGGAGAGTGGCCTACAGGGCATCTCACTGCAATGGAATGAGTAACAGAGAAGGAAAATAGTGAGGGGGTTAACCAGAATGACACCTCTACCCAAAGCATGTTCTAGAAAAGAATAGATACAGCACTTGGGAACCTGAGAAATAACTCCCTTAAACTACCCACACTTGCATACTTTACAGTTTTCATGCACTTACTCCAGTTTGAAGACTGCTGTTCTGAAGTGTGGGAGCCCAGGGGGAGAGAGACACAGAACCCTGCCTTTCTCGTGCTCCCTTTCTTCTTCACTTGTCATCTCTCAGGACCAGGAACGGATAGCTTTAGCATTTCTTTCTTCTGTATCAAATCCTCCTTCCACCCTGTAGTACACCAGTAAAAGTGTTTTGGTGTCCTCTTTGTGATTTTCAATAACCTAAATTTCTCTTGATTCCAGACTCTGGAATATTTAAATATGGCCATCAGTGATGACAATTGTCCTTTCTTATGTTTCTTTTAAAAATTTATATTAGACACTTACACGGTTCCCTTTGCAAGATATGAAGAATGTAAGAAATATATTCATTTTAGATTTTTTAAAGACTCATGGTTTTTAAGCATTCAAGATAAGAAAGGGAAGAAAGACTTTAAGAATTTTCTAATCACTCTTATCTTTGTTGTGAGTGATTTTGGCATATGAGGCTACTAGTGAAATATTAAAAATTATTAATTTTAGTAACATTTTAAAGAAAGCAATCAAGCCCTAGATACTGGGTATTATGGCAATGTTATAACCTCAATTTCTAGGTTTTTATAATCTCTTTATGAAGGCAAGACAGTTAGTTATACAGTGAACAGTGAAGAGGTCTATGATTAATTGCCAGAACAAGAGCTATAAAAATATACTTTCTGATTCAGGATCATGAAAGACTTAGGCTATTGGGGAATTTGTTCCAGAATGTTATCCTATAATCTATTTAAAGTTAAAAAATAAATAATTGTAAGTTGGTGAGAAATGCAATTGAAAAATTCATACTAAAATTCAAACAGATTACCTTAGAATAGATTCAATCTCTGGGTCCAAACATATTCATTTCTATCACAAGTTCTGAAGAGAAATAAACATTAAAATATTAAAATTGAATTTTCACCCTAAGGCTAATATGGAAATGAAAGCTGAAAAAAATAAGTAACATTTATTCATTTACACAGAGTTTTCTAAAGGTTTTTAGTTATTTGAATATTTTTATGTCTTGCATTTTAACTTCCTCACAGAACAATAGAAATATATCCCCACCCTGCTTTGGCTTTACCACACAGTTCCTATAGAGAGGGAAATCCTTTCAAGTCAAACAGTTTAGCAACAAGGTTAAAATCCAAGGTTCTATCAATTCATGATGAGGGATAGCGATTTAGTAGTTGATAAATGATATATATTTGAGTTCTTAAACTTTGATGAACTCTTTCATGTCCTTGAGCTAATAACTCACATTAATTAAATTATTAATTTAATTAAGAACAGAATTCACATTTAATCTTCCCATTACGTGGCAAATGTAGATGGCTTGAAAAGTCACAAATGATTTGAAACAATATAAATGTGTAGGTATTTCCGTATATAAAGTAGAAAGAAAAAAAATCAATATTTAGTTCAAATTGTTCTAAAAATTCAAGTTCAGATTTTCCTTTCTAGTTGGCATTTGCTGAATTTCTGGATTCCACCAATTGTCTTTGAATTCTAAACAGGGAAAACCACTTCCTTAGAAGTAGTAAAAAAAAAAAGAAAAAAAGAAAATGAAATTACTTTTTAAGGCAATCACAAACCAACCATCAACCATCGTTAGTAGGGAAGTATGTAGTTGGGATTAGAAAGTAAGAACTCTTTCCGTGGGAACCCTGAAGGCATAAATACAAACTTCTATATACTGTGCCTTAGCTGTACTTGACAACTGAAGACTTCAAAAATTACATGGTTTTTAATAAGTGAATTACATTCATATTTTTCCCATAATCAAAGGATATAGATCAAAGTTCAGTTTCACAACCTTGTTGCTGTCTGAAGACGCATTTTCATGTGAAAAAGAGGGCATTGCCTGGGTAAATCAAGAGACCAGCTCAGAAAGTGATCAAAGCCATGAAAAAATCATTTTGTAAATTATTTAGGGACATGCTAGCGCATTTATTGAGAGCCCTGAGGTCACAGCAAAGCAAAGTACATTTTTGCCTTGTGCCTTGCTATATTTTTTTTATTAAGACGGCCTCATTTGGAGACCTATAAAGAAAAGCATGGCTATACCAGAGCAAGGAAAAGAGGTTGTATATTTTAAACTTTAATAAAATAGTTTCAGGCAACTTATATTTTCTTTTACCTTTAATCTATTCACAGGCTAAAACTGGAGGAAGTATTATACTGATAGAATTGAATCTTTACAACAACAACAAAAAAAACCCTAAGTCTTGTTTTCAAAAGGAAGTTTTGTTAGATACTGGAACAGCATGCACAAATGTGACACAAAATTAGTAAAAAAGCTATTTCTGGAGAGTGAAAAGAGTTGGATTAGGGTTGGAAGACTCTTGGATTTAGGGGGGCAAGAGCAGAGTAAAAACACATTAACTGCAAGAATGTTTTCCATTCCAGAGTAGATCTGCCTGCTCAGATAAGGAAACAATAAAAATCCTCTTGGTTATGGATTGAATTTCTCCACAATTTTTAAACCACCAAAATATCTATTATAGGGTCATATACACCATGCAGAAATGTCCTTACAACTAACCATTCCACTAAGTGGAGGAAAAGAGAGGATTCTGGGGTACACAGATGGGACAAGAGACTTTGGGTTACAAAGCTGAGGTGGGCTGCTCAGCTGGGATCTGGGCTGCCCCAACAGTTATGAACTGTTTGTGTTCCCTTAAAATTCATATGTTGAAGCCTTAACACCCAATGTGACGGTATTTGGAGGTGGAGCAAGACTTCAAGAACCCTGGAAGAAAAAAAAAACAAGTTTACAAAGATTTCTTCCAGAATCCTGGAAGAAAATAACAGCAGGGAGGGTAAAGAGTGCAATGGACATGCCAGTAGCTATGACGTGCTGGGGAGACAGGCGCTGGGGTTCAGGTGCGGTGGTCTCGGTAAGTACTCGAGCTTTGAACTGAGACCCCAGAGTGGCTGTGCAATAAGGGTAAGGAAAAACAATTAACTAGACCAGACCTAACAATGCCCACACTCAGGCTTCAAAAGAATCATGATGACTGCCAGTTATCTAGCTGCCTTCAAGAAAAGTTAACCCTATTTGGGGGAAGGTAATAATAATAATAATAATAATAATAATAAAGTCAAGAGCTCCTAAAATTTCTAAGTTTCTAAAACAATGTTCAGCATACAATAAAAAATTATCAGCAATGCTAAAAAACAGGGCCAAGGGATTCCAAGCCAGACCCTAGGGAAAAAAGAGACAATAGAAAAGGGCCCACATGGGAAATTTCAGCCAAGAAATGGAACCTCCAAAAAGAATCAAATGGAAATGCTACAACATAAAAGTACAGTCCCTGAAATTGAAAATTCATTGCATAACCATAACAGCAAATTGGAGATTACAGATATGAGGATTAGTTAACTTGAAGCCAGGTAAATAGAAATTATATATTTTGAAGACTTGAGAGAAAAAAATGGTTGAAAAAAATAAAGAGCCTCAATGATATTTAGGAGGATAGCAAACAGTTTAACATACATGAAATTAGAGTCTCACAGGGAGAGAGCAAGAAATGGAAAAATATTTGAAAAATACTGTAAAAAAATTACTTAAAGTTGGTGAAAAAACATAACTTACAGATCCGAGGCATACAACAAACCCCAAGTAGGATAAATGCAAAAGAGAGCTATACCCTAAGCATATTATAATCAGACTAATGAAAATAAAGAATCGTAAGAGCTTCCAGAGATGAGAGGATTACACACAGAGGAGCAATACAGGACAGCTAACTTTTCATGGGAAACAATAGATTCCAAAAGACAATGGAATATCCTTAGAGTGCTTAAAGAGGAAAATAAAATCAACCCAGAATTCTACATCCAGATAAAATGTCTTTTAAGTAAAGGGTAATACAAAGATATTTCAGTTAAATGAAAGGTGAGAGAATTAATTTACCCTCAGACTTTCAATAGGAGAAACATTAAAATGTATTTAAAGTAGTGTTTAGCTACCTTCAGTTTTCCTTAATTGTCCCAATTTCCTAAGCTGTCAGGCAAACCATAATATGCTGATAGGTCTTAAGACAGCCATTCCAAGGTTCATAATAAAAAGATTGTTTTCATTCTAATGATGTTGAGCTAGGTATAAAATAAATTGCTATTTCCTAGAACAGAAATGGGAGGGAAATTTCCTTTAGATTTATTATAACAATTAGCCATGTGAACACAGGTGGTTTAGGTGCAGGCAGAGAAGCCAGAACATAGAGTGTGTAGGGTATAACTAGGACTGCTTCTAGAAGGAAGTTCTTGCTCAGGGTGTGGCTTACCACAAAGTGGCAGGAAGTAGAAAATAATTAACTGAGCTTGAGTACAGGAAAGTGTAAGAAAAAGAATGGAGTCTTTGGTCAGCTGTAAAGCACAGGACTGTGGCTTCCAGTAAAACTGACTGTCTCGGGCAACTGGTCAACTACATTAGCCAAAAAGCAGACTCGGCACTTTTCCTTATGTGCCTATCGTGCAGGGAAGTCTTTCTCCCAAGAGTTATGATGGAACGTTTTACCAAATCTTGTTCCCTTGTTAGCATATTAGGCAACGTTCTCTTTTGGGGAATCTTTATCAAGCCAGACAAGGAAAAGAAGTAGTTCTCCTTCCTCATCAAGAGAGGATGAAGCCCTTCAGCTATGCTACCAGTCAGGCCTCCGTTAAGTGGTTACCTCTGTCATTGCTGATGGAGAATATCTTGTTTTTAAAGCTACAGAATAGTTTCCTGGAGGAGAAAGTAGGTAATTCATTTGCTTACGTTAAAGTTCTTGTCCATGACAACCACAGAAGTAAATGTCCTACATAATATGGGGCATTTAATATACATATATATATAAAATAAAATTCCTAAAGAGAGGAATTTCACGATAACATACTGGATAAGAGCACAGATTTCGGAAGCAGACTGCCTGAGATTGTAACCTGGTTCTGTCACTTACCTTGGTGACCTTGGGGGAAGTCCACCTCTGTGCCTCAGTTTTCTGATCTATAAAATGAAGATAAGGGTGCCTGCCATGCACATGCCTGTTTTGAGGATACAAGTCATATGTTAAGTGTCAGCAGAATATATTGAACATAATTTATGTGTTTGCTATTATTGTTAAAAGATACATGGTGTAAAATGCAGCTCTTTGGTTTTATCTGTTGATCTCCCTAACCAGATACTAGGAGTGCCTAGGAGTACTAGGAGTACCTCAGTTTATTGCAGAGCAATCAATTCTATTGTGTTAAAAAAGCATACATACTAACACATAGCCGCAGAGTTAAAGTTGAATACTCAGTGGTCCTCAACGTCTTCCCGTCTTCCCGAGGAAAATCACACCGCAGATGACCTTGAGCAAAACACGCCCCAGGAGGCACCTTGAGCTATGTGCTGTTCCAGGTAAACTACCCCTTCTCTCTTAAAAGCAGACAGCAGCACAAAGGAGAGTAGGATTATAGGGGATGACGAACATTGAAGCATTGTCACAACTGATTTTATTAACCATGTCATAGACTATGGTTAATAGATGTCATAGACTATCAAAAGGGAGAGCACCTGCAGAGCTCATCAACGGCCGCTTATTCAGAGCTTGCTACAGCAAGGGAGTGTGCGACCAGCGTGTTCCGCCTGCGACACACACAGTGGGCTTTACAGAATGCAAAGGAGGACGTCTTAAGACAGTATTTGGGCCAGGCTGGTGGCTCACGCCTGTAATCCTAGCACTCTGGGAGGCTGAGGTGGGTGGATTGCTCGAGGTCAGGAGTTCGAAACCAGCCTGAGCAAGAGCAAGACTCTGTCTCTACTAAAAATAGAAAGAAATTAATTGACCAACTAAAAAAAAAAAAATATATATATATATATATATACACACACACAC